TTCTCGCACCCCGTGAAATTGATGCACCACGCGCTCCCGATGAGCAGCTGTTCAACGGAGATTTTTGCCCGCGGCATCATATTTTTCTTTCGCGGGCCTCCGCGTGCATCTGGCAGCTGAACGCTGATCCTCGCAGCGCCAAGTGTGGACGCGAGCGAAACAACTTCCCCCTCCTGGTCCATGACGTCCTAGCGTGGGCGCCCTGGCTTCTCGATCGCCGCCTCCAGCACCTTCTCGGCATGCTCGTTTTGCGCTTGCGCTTGGTGCGCCCGCGCCTGGAACGAAGGATCCTTCGAAAGGGTGGTGTCCTTCCTCTTGAGCTACAACAGCTTTTCGCGCATAGTGACGAGCACCATGTCCCCAGTCTTGCGGCCTAGCGCTAGGAGCTGCTTAACCTCGCCGATACAGAGCTGATCGTCGAAGTCGCAGAGGCTAGGCGGCGGCTGCAGGCCTACGGAAAAAAAAGGGGTTCGTACACAGGCCGCACATCATCCGCCTCATGTTGCTCCTGTACGGGCGCATCCTGAGCGGCATGGCGGCGCACGCGTTACCAAATACTCCATCCATTCTTCTTGCACCCGCAATGTACGCAACTCCATGTTTTGCTCGGCCCTCTGGAGCCGTTCTTTTTTGTCCGCCCACGAAACATTCTAATGGTGGCCACCCTCCATTGCACCAGCGCCCCAAGCCATGAGGACGTACTGAAACGCATAGTAGACTTGGCCGACAGCGTCACACTAGGACACTCGCCCTGGGCAAGGTTGCTGCTCAAGGGTCGTGCGGGTCTCTGACCAATTTGAACCCCATCCGCTGGGAACGCGACGGTCCCAGGCAACGGCTTGTGCCAAACGCTTGGGCCAAATGGCTACGGACCTTTTCCTCCTGATCCTCGTCCTCCCGGTCCTCCTCTTCCTCCTCCACCTATTCCCCTTCTTCCTCCTCCTTTTCCTCCGCCTCCCCTCCTCCTCCTCCTTTTCTTTGTCCTTTTCCTCCGCTTCTTCCTTTTCCTCATCTTCCCCCTTGATCCTCCTCCTGTTCCTCCCCTTGTTCCTCTTTCTCCTCCTCCTCCTCCTCCTCCTCCTCCTCCTCCTCCTCCTCCACCTCCTCCTCCACCTCCTCCTCATAATCCTCCTCCTGCGCCACCGCCGCAAACGTCGTCAATGGCGACGTGGTCGTCGTTCACTGTGGCCGGAAACCATGGGATATCACGTCTGGCTGTCCGTCCGGGGCGGACGCCTTCGGCCTTCGGCGATGCGCAGCTGCAGAAAAACACCGCCGAAGTCTGGGAACATCAAGGAACCGTCGAAGATCACGCGCGGCAGGGCTCGGCGGCCGCCGCAACCGCCCCGTCCGCCCTGCCCGCCGCCGACGCCGCCGTCGTTAATGGCAACGATGTCGTCGTATGGTGTTTCTGGGCGTCTTCATCGTTTCCTTCCCATGCCCCCTCCATATCCTTTTCCTCTTTTTCCGCCTCCTCCTCCTCTTCCTCCTCCTCCTCGTCCTCCTCCTCCTCTTCCTCCTCATCCTCTTCCTCATCCTCCTCCTCCTCCTCCTCGTCCTCCTCCTCCTCCTCCTCGTCCTCGTCCTCGTCCTCCTCCTCCTCCTCCTCCTCCTCCTCCTCCTCCTCCTCCTCCTCCTCCTCCTCCTCATCCTCTCCATAACGCGGGCGCTGCTGGCACCTGGGGCCCTTGGGGATGCTGCCACCCACCCTCGTTGTTTTCCTGTACGTCCTCCTATTCCTTGTCCTCCTCCTCCTCATCATCATCATCATCATCATCATCCTCCTCTTCCTCATCCTCGTCCTCCTCCTTTTTCTTTCGGGGCGCTGGCGTTGCTGGCGTCGAGGTCCTGTGGGGTTGCTGCCACCACCCCTCCTCCTCCTCCTCCTCCTCCTCCTCCTCCTCCTCCTCCTCCTCGTCCTGTTCCTTTTCCTCCTCTTCCTCTTCCTCCTCTCCTCCTCCTCCTCATCATCGTCTTCCTCCTCCTCTTCCTCCTCCTCCTCCTCCTCCTCCTCCTCCTCCTCCTCCCCCTCTTCCTCCTCTTCCTCCTCCTCCTCGTCCTCTTTCTCCTCCTCTTCTTTCTCCTCATCCTCTTTTCCTTATTTCCTCTACCCGTTCCCCGTTTCGTCCTCTTCCTCGGTTCTGGCGTCGGCGCTGCCGGCGTATGAATCTTTTGGAGATGCTGCAAAACCTCGTCGTCCTCCTCCTTCCCACTCTTTCTGCCCTCTCCCAATGAATTTTCGATGACGACGACGTCGTCTCATCGTGGGCTAACAACATATGTCAGTATCCGCGTCGTCGTCCGAGATCGCGTTCAAGAAAAATGGATCCAGGACCAGGACGTTACTCCGACGGCAGGACCCCGCATGATAATCTCCCACCGTCGTTCAGAGCCCCGAAGCATCAGGGGTAACTCGGGTTCGTTTTTCGGGATTCCGAACCCGACTTACCCCGGACCCGACTTACCCCGGATAATTCAGGCGTCCAGAGCCCCGAATCATCAGGGGTAACTCGGGTCAGGGCTAACTCGGGTTGGTTTTTCTGGATTCCGAACCCGATTTACCCCGGATAGTTCGGGCGCCCAAGTCGTAGTGACTGCAGAGGTTTCCGTCTCGCCTCCCCGTCGCCCTTTCGTCTTCGCCCAGCCGGTGCCCCTCTTCCTGGACCCCCGATTTGCGTCCTCCTCGTCCTCGTGCATTTTCTCTCCTATCCACGTTCTCCCCGGCCCATTAATCTAAGCAAGAGCAATTGAATTTCCATGGCGCCGTTGCCGCCACGGCCGGCACGGGCGCCTTCTCTGAGTGCCGGATCGCGAAGCCGCTGGGACAACCTCGTGGGCCAGCCGGTGGGGACAACCCGCCATGTCTCGAGCTAGTCACGGCGGCACTCAGGCGGGAAGCAACGCGACGCCCAACTCTGCCGCGAGCTGCTCCGCTTCAGCCCTGGAGTTCCCTGCTCTGTTATCGAAATTTCTGAACGTCTTCCTCACGGAAACCGGCGGCCCACGCCACAGGACTTTTCGCGTGGGCGGCCGCAGGATCAGCATGTTCTGCACGCACTTCCTCGCCATTCACTCACAAATGAGGCTCCCGTCTGGGACTCCCGCCATGCTTCAAGAGGCCAGGGGTGACGACAAATACTGGGCTCTGACCTGCTGGGATTGGTAACATGAGCTGCGGGCCCCGCCGGGGGGGGGTCTCCCGCCTGTGACTTCGTCATGACAGTTGCAAGGGTCCGATGACCCGCTCAAATTAATAACATGAGGGGAGCCACGTTTGGACGCAAGTCACGACGTCGGATGTCTGAGTAGGTCTCTGGAGACCCCACCCTACGGCTGAGAATCTCGATCCTTAAGGATGGAAAGCGTGAAGGAGTTCAGAAAGAGGAGGATCGATGAGGGAGAGGAGGAGGAAGCCAAGAAGAGGAGAGAGATAATTGCTCCAGTCCCAATTGATCCGGATCAAGTGCGTGGCTATTTTCGGTGTCACCTATACCTTTGCCTTCTCCTGCCTCTGCCGCCGCCACACTTCGCTGCCTTCGTTTTGTCTTCCCGTACGCCACGAGCGTAACGAGCCCCGTGGTTCAATGCCAGGCGAGCCGAAACGGAGGAAGACGAGGACTGGCTGGACGCAAGAGTGACTCTAGGCAGAAAGCGCCCTTCGGTGCGCAGCCTGAGGGGGCCGCGGGGGGGGGGAAGGCTATGCTGGGGGACGAATGTAGGCCCACAGTAAAGGTCGCTCCGGTGAAGTGCCGCTCTCACGCGTAGCCCGACCACTTCCTGCTCCCTGGAGCCCTAACACGCCCTGGGGCAGGGACGCCCCCAAAAAAGAAAACATGTGCAGTTGTTTGCTTTGTCAAGTTGAGGGCCGAGAGCAATGCACAGACAATGATTCGGGCGATGACCAGGATCGGTACATGTGCCTTCGTGGCTTGGCCAAGGAGGGATATACAATCATCCTGGGCCCAAGATGGGCCTGGCTATGACTGGTTTGTGTGTGTGTGCGTGTGCGTGTGCGTGTGCGTGTGCGTGTGCGTGTGCGTGTGCGTGTGCGTGTGCGTGTGCGTGTGCGTGCGTGTGCGCGTGTACGTGTGCGTGTGCGTGTGCGTGTGCGTGTGCGAGTGTGCGAGTGTGTGTGTGTGTGCGTGCGTGCGTGCGTGCGTGTGTGTGTGTGTGCGTGTGTGTGTGTGTGTGTGTGTGCGTTGTGCGTGTGCGTGTGTGTGCGTGTGCGTGTGCGTGTGCGTGTGCGTGTGCGTGTGCGTGCGCGTGCGCGTGCGCGTGCGCGTGCGTGTGCGTGTGTGTGCGTGTGCGTGTGCGTGTGCGAGTGTGTGTGTGTGTGTAGTCCTCCTCGCCCGTGGGGCTTAATTTTCGAGTGGGATATCAAGTCTCTGGCGGCCGTTTGGGACGATCCAGGCAACCCGGGAACGCTCTCGGCGAGGCGCTGCCGTGCATCCCCAGGCGGGACAACATCACGCCCAGTGCTCACGAGAAGGGGGACGACGAGGAGAACGCGGAGGAGGAGGAGGAGGACGAGGAGAGTAGCAGAAGAACAGAGAAACGGCATTAAACTGCTGGGAGGTCCGCGCGGACGTCTTGGGTCTGTGCTGGACTCCCCTCCCTGGCGGGCGGAGCGCGTCACGGGAGGTAGTCCGAGCGCCGATCCAAGAGATCCGCGCGGAACTCCGAAAGTTTGTCTGTGCCGCGTTTCTCCTTCGAGCGAAGAAACGAGGATGAATGCTGGGCGTCGCTTAGTGGGGGGCGACACATTGGGAGGGGCAGAAAGGTACACTCTTCTGGCCCTGGAGGCATCCTTGCGGGCCCTACTTTGGTGGGCGGCATCCTTACTTGGGGCCCTACTTTAGGGCCCTCCTTTGGAGGCATCCTTTAAGGTGCATCTTCGGGCCCTGAAAGGGGCCCCTTGTCTGCAGCCCTCACTCCCCCCCCCCCTCATTTTCCTCGCCGCCCCACTGCGCGACGCCCAAGAATGGCCCGCCCCTCCCCTCCCAGGCGCGGGGTGCGGCGCCGAGCCGTCCTGCATGCCACGGGGGGGGGGCGGGAGGAGCGCTGAGCCGTCCGACAGCCAAAGTGGCTTCGCGGGGGAGCGAGCGGGCGACATGCACGCTTGTGCTCCTTTTCGCCGTCGTGGCTCTCAAGGACACCCTCCCGGGGACCGGCTGCTCACTTCCGACCCGTGCTGCGACGGGGGCCCCGTGGGGGCCCTTGGAGAGCCCAGAATCGAATCGAAAAGTCGAATCGGCGGACATCGGCAGGCTAGTATGCCTCCATTACAGAACCGGAGCCCACATCGGAATCCCCAATCAAATCGAATCGGAATCGGAAGCCATCGAAGTCGAATCGAATCGAATCAGGTGGATTTTGACGCAAAATGAGAAATAGCTAACACATGCCACATAAATGCTCAAAGATGCTCAAAAAGTCGTCCCCAGACTATTGTTTGCCAATTTTTGAATATTCCTCCTGGAGAGGGGCAAGCCCGACTTACAAATGGCATGAACAAATTCCGCGCGTTTTCTTGGATCGGCGCCGGACCGATAGACGTAATCTGGTTCTGGCCCAAGGTGTCCCCAATTGTTCGTGCAGTCATGGCACTGCCATCAGGAACGGCAGATATGAAACGAAGCCCTGTGTTGGCGCCGACTGAGTCTGGGTGCGCGAGGAGGGCCAGAAGAACAACCACGGAACGACCCCAGGGACAGCGAGCCCTTTCCGCACCGGAAGCGGTCCTTGTGACAACGTCTTGACGGCACCCTCTTGGAGCTCCTGAGGCCCCCTCGGCCACCTGAGGAGTGCTCTGGGTTGCGGGTGGGCCTCCCTGGGAATCATGGGGACACCTTGGTCCAGGGACACCTTACAAGGCAGTTTTTAACACATGGGATCTTCAAAAATATAGGATTTGTAATACATGATCAATTCATGAACAAGTTCATGCATGAACTCATCGTTGTTTTTAATACTAAACCCCTGCATTTGTAATACATGATCCGCACGCGGAGCATGTATTAAAAACGGCACTGTATGCGAAACCGCCGCCGCCAGCGCGGCACACCGCGTGGAGAGGAAAGCGCTCACGCGCGACATTACGCGGTAAACTTACGCGCAAATGTCGGCACAGCCTTCGCGGGTGGTGGCCGTCCCGCTAAGTGCTGGCAGTCTCAGAAAGCCCTCTTGGGGTGGAGGGCTCGAAATGTCAAGTGGAATTTCCCCTCTTGGGCGCCTCTTGGGCCGTCTTGGGGTCCTCTTGGGCCGTCTTCGGGTTATATTGGGGCCTTGTGGGCCGTTTAGGGGCGACCTTGGAAGTCTCTTGGGCCGTCTGTTGGGACTGAAGAAGCGCCTGTGCTGAAAATAACCAGTTTCAAACAAGGATGCGGCACTTTGGGCCTGTTGGGGCCCTTCTGGGAACTCCCCTGGAGCTCGGGCGAGCCTTATGGAGACGTCTGGTGGGCCTCGTGGGGGCTTGCTGATGGTCTTCTTCTCTTGGGGCGGAGTGCTCGACAGGTCATCTGGAGTTCCCCCTGGGAGGCGCCTCTGGGGCCGCCTTTCAGTCCTGCTGGGCCTCCTTCGGACAACCTTGGGGGCCTCGTGGGCCGTCGTTGGGCAATGATCTTGGGAGCTTGGACCCGGTCAGGGCCCCAGAAGAGCATCTGTTGAAAACGAACGCTTTCGTGAAGGAATGGGGCAATGTGGGCCTGTCTGGGCCCTCTTTGGAGCGCCCTTGGGAGCTGCCACGGGCGGTCTTGGGAACTTTTGGCGGACGGCATGGGACCGTCTTGGGGCGAAAGGCTCTAAATGTCAGGTGGAATTCCTTCTCCAGGATTTTAACACTTTGTGGCTCGTTCGGGACGCTATCCAAACCGAAAAAGCGCATGCTTTGAAAGCATACGCTTCCGGAAGGAATGGGGCACTTGTGGTGTGGTGGGGACCTCACGGGAGCACTCTTGCAGAGCTCACGGGCCAACGTGGGGCACTTGGAACCGTTTTGGGCGGTTTCGGAGCTGTCTTCAATCGTTTTGAGCCGCTCGGGAGCCGCCATAAGCACTGATGCATGGGTGTCGGGGCACTCCTGGAGGTCCTGGATCCCAAGATAACCCATCGGTGAATGAGTCTGGGGCCCGCCTGGGTCCTGGAACTCCGGATGGGGAAGAGGAGGAGCGAAGATACATGCGGAAGGATGGATCAGATAAGACCCTGCCGGAGGAGGGCAGAGACAAGAGTAACGGAGGGAATGAAAGGAATGAGGATGGACCTCGTAGCGTCCCTCCGCTCATGTCAGCACGCCTTTCATATGGATCGTGCCCCTAAGGGAGTGTGAACAGTTTTGGGCTGTCTCGACGGGCTTTTATGGGGGTTTCTTCGCCCATCTTAAGGGCGCCCCGCTTCAGGAACAATGCCCCAGACCACCCTCGGCGCGCACCGGTTCCCAATGTGGGACTGCGGTTTCTGGGCCCAGGTCCTCATTTCCGTCGGCTTCCCTCTCCTCACCCCCTTGCCGCCACCATTGAAATGAGGAGGAAAAAACACCAAGGAAGATGGGGCAAGCAGCAGGGAGGAACAAGAGGACGAGGCCGAAAAACAATGACTGAGCAAAGCAGAGCGGGAGGCGAGATGAATAGAGGCGGAAGATGGAGAGGAGATGGTGAGGGGAGAAAATCATCAGGAGGATAATCATGAGAGAAAAGCGAGAGCAGCGTGCTGAACAGATACACGTTGCGAACCGCCCTGCGATAGGCGCAACTGCGTTGGTGGGGAGGAGGAAGGGGGTGGAGGGAACGAAGAAAGGGGGGTAAAAAGGGAACACCAAGAGAAAACAACGACTTCGAGAAGGAGACGCGCGTGGATGGTGTGGGGAATGCTGCGATGAGGAAGAATATAGACGATTAGGGCAAGAGGGACATGGGGGAACGGGAAGGATGGTCAGGAGCAAGGAGAGGTGAGCTCTTTGACGACGTAGACAAGAAGGGGCATCGGTGGTGGACAAACCTCCCTTTAGTAAACCTCACTTTAGTGAAAACGGCCTGGGACCGAAACCGATGGACCTGGACCCGCAAAATGACGGCCGCGACGACCATTCGCGAACCGAGAACGGCCAATTCGCTAATCGACGTGTCAGGGCAGGAGGTCTGTCCACCCCCGAGGGAACAGAGAGGAAGGCACACGGTGCCCCTCCTCCGCGCGTGCGTCTCATAGAGACTTCCGGCCCATCTTGCACATGTGCCGCGTGTGCCCTTGCTCATAGACTGCCAAGATGCTTGCTGGTCAGAGCCCTTTGGACCCTCCACAAATCATACTCACGATCGACATCATCAGCAAAACCGTGAATAACAACATTGGCCCAACGCTGCGAACCCTGACAGTACGTCACACTCGCGAATCATCATGACCGCCATATCGTCCTCGAGGGGCATCCAGCCGGGGCCACCGCGGAGAGGCCTCCAGGAGGCCCAGGGCAAAAAAACAGCGCTGTGGCGGAACGATATTGTCTCGACTGGCCCTCATCCGAAAGAGATCGGGGCTTTCTGTAAATCATTTCCAGCGCTGGCCGCAGAAACAGCGGCCGGGAAGGCCCGTCCGCCGGAGGAGATACTTCTCCTCCTCCTCCTCCTCCTCCTCCTCCTCCTGCTCCAGATCCCGCTCCTCCGGATCCTCCTCCTCCTGGATTCTCCATCTCCTCCCCCTGCTCCTAGTCGATCCTCCTCCTCTTCCTCAACCTGTAGAGAATACGATTTCATAAGAACTGCCTTATTTTCCTCCTTCTCCTCCACCTTCTCATTCTTTCCTAGTTTTCCTCGTCCTCCTCCCCCTCATTCATCATCATCATCATCATCATCATCATCATCATCATCATCCTCCTCCTCCACCTCCTCATCATCATCACCATCATCATCATCACCATCATCATCATCATCATCATCATCATCAGCAGCAGCACCAGCAGCAGCATCAGCATCAGCATCAGCATCAGCATCAGCATCAGCATCAGCATCAGCATCAGCATCAGCATCATCATCATCATCATCATCATCATCATCATCATCATCATCATCAGCATCATCATCATCATCATCATCATCATCATCATCATCATCATCATCATCATCATCATCATCATCATCATCCTTGCCCTTTTCCTCGCTGGTCTTAATGTCCTCCTCCTCCTCCTCCTCCTCCTCCTCCTCCTCCTCCTCCTCCTCCTCCTCCCTCCCTCCCTCCCTCCCCTCCTCCCCCCTCCTCCTCCTCCTCCTCCCCCTCCTCATCCTCTTCCCCTCCTCCTCCTGCTTCCCCTCTCCTTTCTTACCTCCTAATCGTCATCCTTTCCTTCGTCCTCCCACTCTCCCCGTGCTCTGTCTGATCCTCCCCCTACCTCTTCCGCCCCCCCCGTTCCTCCACATCCTCCTCCTCCTCCTCCACCTCTTCCTCCTCTTCAACCTTCGCCTCATCATCCTTCCGCTCCTATCCATCCTCCCCCTTCTGCTCTTCGTCCTCCTGTGAGGTGAGCTGATTAAAATAGAATGGAGTGCGTTTCATTACTGTCGGAGATATGGGCATGATAGGGGGGGAGGGGGGGTGGCCGGGGGGGGATGATGTAACGCCTCCCCCCCCACAGTGTGGCTCCGGCACCACAGCCGCGCCCGAACGCACGACGACGATGAGCGACGAGCGACGAGCGACGACGACGACGACGACGCGAAGAGCATGCAGGCGGCGACCTGCCCTACAACGCATGTGTACACCACAATGCTCGCGTGCACTACAGCGTCCGTGTACGCCACAGCGCCTGCGTACACCGCAACAGCCGTGTGCGACGCAGCGCCTGTGTACACCACAGCGCTTGCGTGCACCACAGCGCTGGTGTACACCACAACGAATGGGTAACACCGCAGCAACCATGTGATACACAACGCCTGTGTACATCACAATGCTTGCGTGCACCGCAAACCTGTGCACACCACAGCGCCTGTCTACACCACAGCATCTGCGTGCACGCAGCGCTGGTGTACACCACCGTGCTTGCGTACACAGGACAGGTAGCACGAGCATGTAGGTGAGGATCTGCTGCGTACCGCTAAACGCCACGCCAGGAAAGTGCTGACAATAGAAAGCGACGTTTTTCTCTTCTGCCTCCTCCTGATGCTGCTCCTGCTCCTGC